TCTGCGACGACCACTGTGGTTGGTGTTATTCTCCCGCGAATATGTTTCATCCAGCTTTGCTAAATATTCCTCAATTTCTTCAATTTCCGAATACCCATTATTAATAATCGCTCGTTGAATCTCGGGAGGGAAATGTTTTGAAATCAAACTAATCAATTTTTCGTTCGGTATCTTTTCGTCCAAAAAGCTTGCCTGACTTATCAAATTCAAAAAATATTCTGAACCCTTCCCAGTTTCAAACCTTCCATACTGTAATTCCAAATATAAATCCCTTTGTTTTTCCACCCCCCAATATCTAGCTCTAAACTGTTTTTCAAAATCAGGGTAGTTTTCTAAGTCACGTATTTTTAACTCACCCCAGTCGGCTGCACCTCCTCTTAAACAATTCAACGCTAAACTCACCTTACAATGATTCGGAACTCCGGCCTCAATAAACAAATTGTTTAATTTTCTTAAGAACGCCACTGGATGCATTCTTCCAGACGGCGAGAATATTAAGGCGCAACCCCCCAATTCCTTCCAATTGGATATATAATTACGCTCCTCGTGCTCGCATACTTTCGCAACTGGCGATGAGTCGGCTCGGTGCACTATGTGCTCAGTTAAATTTTTTACTAAATCCTGTAACCCAACCATCCCCAATGACAGCTGAGCTAAAACGTTACTTAAATCTAAATCACCTGCCGAATCATCCGCTGTTGCCTTCTTTTTACTACCAGTTACTGAAGACTTAGACATTTTAAAATTTTCAACAATTCAAATATATCCAAATATGTACGAGTATACAAGAAAAAAAAAACAGTACCTACTTATCTAACTAAACTAGAATAAATATGAAACAAAAATGTATTGTAGCATTTAACGTAATGATTTCTTTTTATTTATTTATTTTTTTTTATCCGAGTCGCGGAATTTCGCGTCCGTGGAATTCGTGGAATTCGCCTCGTCTCCGCTAACTCCCTCTCCGCTTCTAGTAGAGTCGCGTGATACCGACAACTATACTTTTTCCCTCCAAATTTCGAAAAATGGCCGCTGTCCCTCCGGAACGTGGACGGCGTTTATCGTTGAATTGGATTTATTAAAATTGGAATGCTTACCAGACGTAACTGCAATTGCTAATTACCGGTAGAATATCCTTCCTTTTCGCCTTCCGTCTATTGCCTGACTGCTACTCGCTTCTCTTTCTACTCGTTTCTCCCGATGAACTCCTTCGGCAAAGCCTTTTACGTTGGGCGCCAAATGTGCTAGCTCAGTCGTTGTAGTTTCGGATAAACCGACTTCTTGAAGATGTGTTAATTCACTCACAGTCTTCGCAATTGCACATTAAAAGAAAAATTACAGAACATCGAAAACTTTATTAAAATTACTCGTACCAGCTAACAAGCTAACAGCCACCGGCCGAGTGTCCCCTTCTTTCCCGCGGTCTCGCCCTTCCTCGCATTATTTCTCCCGCTGCTGTGCAGCTTCGGCTCGAGTTCAGGGCGGTACCACCACAGAATCGACTGCGATCCAGATAATGCCCATTGCAAAATTAAAATATTAATTGGTTTACGCGTAAATAGCCATTCGTACAGGGCGAAACGTAAACCCCGAATCAGAAGGTATTTTATTTAAAAAGCATAATTAATGTTTTCATAAAATAAACAAGGCGTGTGTATTGTAATCAATTAATAATTTAATGGTTATTTATAAACGAAACATTAGATTTCTAATTAGATATACAAAACTTCTTACATTCCGCGAATAAGTTGTTTGTGTTGTGGAACGGATGAAAAACATTCCCCCCGCGGGCAATAAAAGATAGCCGAGTGAATTAATTAGGTTTTATTTGCGTCTATTTATCTAGCCGGTAAATTAAATTAATTTTAATAAAACGCCTCGAACTTTTACCGACTTAAATGTTAAGGTTACCCGGATAGATCAACATTTGTAACAATGCGGAAAATTTCGTTATATTTATTCATTTCGTCAATGCATTTTTTTATCACTTTCACTGCCATCGGGGAAAATTACTTCGGTATTACGTACAGTTCGCTCAACATTTCATAAAACGCTGTCGGTATAGCAGATTTATTAATTTTCTTTTCATTTTTGTTGATATTCTTACCAGGTTTGTTAACTTTCTATTTCTGTTTCTATTTCTGTTCTTCTCTACAAGATTCATTAATTTTCATTCTATTTCTGTTGATATTCTTCACATATTCGTAATTTTTTATTCTACTTGAAATTCCTACTAGATTTATGTAAGAATTCTTTAATCTGATATCTGCTCACTGCTGATATTCATTAATTTTGTATCCATTTTTAGAGAATTTCTTCACCAGATGTCTTTATATTCCTGTAGATACTGCAAGATCTTAGATATTTTCGAGAACACAGATGAAACTAGGGTTTTCCTGTATACAGGGCGAATTTATGGACATTGGTATTTTATGAAATCAAACGAGCTGTGCATGACTCCATATTTATTTATGGAGAATGAGTAAGGTTGTGGGCGGTTTACTGGGTCAAGTTTATGAGTAAATATTTTGCTTCTGTATGGACGAAGAAATGCAATATATTCTATTATTTAACAGCTAATGTGAGAGGTGAAACATAGAAGTTCCTGCGTAATCCTAACTTCAAATTCAACATTTGAAAATACTATAAATGAAGTGTTTTCGTTACAAAATTTTTTAAAGGAAAAACCGCTCTCATCTAGTTTACGAAGATTGCGAGTTGGTTACATAATTATTTGTTGTAACGTGGAAAATCTTTGAAAGTGCCAAACCTAAACCCGTTTCTACCAGTTTGACGACTTACGACTACGTCCACTATTTTACGTAAACAACTAGTTAGATGGAGATTTGAAGAATTTCAATTCCGGTAATGATAAAAAACTAATCTATTAGATAGACGAGCAGAGATGAAGAGAAAAAAATAACCATGCAAAATAAATTACGTACGTTTAATTAACCGCAAACACGGAGTATATATTTCTCTTCACCAGCAAGACCAAGAGACTTCCAGTCTTCCAGTCCTCTCCCTTAATTAGCGTGGTGTCGTCCTCTCCTTTTAACTGTATAAATTCCAGCGGTCATTAAAATAAACAACTGTCAGGCCGGCTTCCACTTACATCAGAGTCCCATCGAAAAGTTATTTCGCCAGCCCCATAAACGTAAACAACACCTAGTGTGTGCGCCCGTCCGCCGCGGAACAATCGCATTCGCGAGTTTCGAAAGCACGGGAACTATCTGCTCGTCCGTACATACGAACGCCGTTTCGCGTAGAATATTATACGCGTCGCCGCTGTGCGTCTATTCCCGACTGAAATATTCGAACTATTAAGAAACCTGAAATGAATTTTACGTCTGCCGATCCGCGTCCGAAGGTTATTATCATTATTATCAACTTGCGTTTCGACTCTGCGGTGTGCGCGCCTCGTCGACGTCCTTTTCCTTTTATGCTTTATCTGTTTGGTTTGCGATGCACAATTGCCGGTGTTGTTTATTAATTGCTATTGGTAATTAAGTTATTGCTCGATTCTCCTGTACACGGTGGTCTTATTTCCTTTCTAAATAACGCAAAAAATGCTCTGTATTGAATTGAACTGAAATTTAATTAAACAACCAACTAATATTCTTTTAAAATCAAGACAAAAAAATCCTTAATATTATCAAAAATCCACCAGATTACCCTTTTAATGATCAAAATTTTGAAAATTCAACAACCCACATATCGCTACTTTTCCCATACAGTTTCTTAATATCACAAACTTTACTCTAAATTAACTGAAAAGATGAAGTAAAATTCCCTTATAATCAGGAAAAAAATTTTCATACCTATCTAATAACTTAGAAATCCTCTGAATTAACTAAAAAAAATTAATCAAAACATCCTTGAAATCTTGTCAAAAATATAGAATATAAATTCTATAAAATTCCTTTATAATGACGATGAAAAATTCCAAAAAAAATCACCTTTAATATGTCTCCTCACTGTCCCCCGTTTTATATAGAGATCAAATTTTTCGCACATACATTTCCACGCCTATTAATAGTTCCTAATCATCAATTATCGTTGTATTAACTTTTTTTGTTGTACAAATTGTATCAAAAGATGCTATCTATAAATGAGTCGGTAACTGAATTGAATCGGTTTGTTGTGCAGCTTATAATAGAGAAAACGGTATTTCATAATTAACACTTTTGCCCATCACTCGTCGAGGAATTCAGCACAATTAATAATTTAATTGCAGAAAAATTTAACACTCCATCGGACAGATCTTTGAAATGTCTTGATCGGCTTCTTAATAGGATAAAAATCCCCGAGACAACTTATTTTGATTGATTAATGTTTGTTCGATAAAAAATACGAAGTACAATATTAAGTAAGGCTAATCTGAAAGAGAATAATTACAATTGAAATAAATATTCCATTTTAAATTAGAAAGTTAACTTATAATTATAAATTAGTAGTTAACTGCATACGTCTGTTATTTAAATTATTTGACTTTGATTAGAATTAATTGGTTTTTTGTTAGATTGTACGTTACAAGAGAAAATGTGACGTAACAATTCATTTACCTAATTCGAATACATTTTAATTTTCTACAATTTGGAAAAATACGAATTATTCCCATTATATAATGAACAAAATAATTTTTGTTCGTGAATAGTTAAACAATGGGTTAAAAATACCGCCGAGGTCGATTCTAAGCACGTTAATAACGTATCTAAAGCATATCGAATGATAATTAGGTACACAAAATTGCTGTCATTAATTAAACTTTGTAATTACGTATCGTACTTACCTCAATTTTTAATGCACGTTCAATTTTATAAGGGGATTATTAAAGCGTTATTAGGGGGTTAAATTGTTCATCAAAGAACCTACGAATTTCGTTAAATTCCAACAATTCTCATTCGGTTATATCGTTACGCATTCGGTCTTTTTAATTTCCTTTTTAGTAACTTTTAGTGCAGGTTTAATAGAAAAAAATAAATCGAGTCAAATCGTACCGATCCGTTTCACGTGCACGTCTCTATTGAAGGACACGCGTGGTTTTTGCGAGGTGTTCGATCGTTGAGAATCCGAGCGGCTCACGTCAGGCATCCCGACGCTCTAACGCCCGTCCATCCTGGAATACCTACGTCACCAAAATCAACAGGAATAATACTCTCACTTCGGCGAAATACGTGTATTAGTAGCTTGGTGATTGTTACTTGATGAAATGAGATAATGGTCCTCTTCGGTTAATAAGAAGAGTAGTGTATAGTCGGCTTTAACGTGGTATTTTTTGGGAAAAAATTAATTGCACTGGTTATCTGAAGTTTACGATTAAAAAATTGTGTATGGTCTGCTTTAGAACTGGGAATTGGGGGTATACCAATTGCACTGCAACATTCAATTTTAATCAATAAAGATCTTTATAATGCTCGTTCTAGTGAAAATTAAATGTCGGTAAATTCCGATAGGTAAATAATCTCGAATCTATTAAAATTACATAATCGTTTCGTAAATAAACGAGAAAAAAAGAACTGGTAGTAAAGCGATATCTGAATCGCTACCATATTGGGTTCGCTTTTATAGATTTTATTGTAATATCTAATCTAAAATAGCTGAAATCAGCAATACTTTCATTTTTGGAAACTGGTTTTATGGCAGGCGAGTGTGTTGACCTAGTTATTGCATAACGACGCACAGGTACCTTTAAGGTCGTTTTTAAATCCACTTGACTAATGGTGCAGAAGACTTTCCGACTCGTAGGGGAAAACTGCGCACTCTTACTGCAACTAATTCTCCCCTAATAACGCTATTTTTTAATTATTCACATTAGAGAAAGTATAGGAAATTATATTATAAAACTAGGCGAACGTTCCATATTCTACTTACTCTACTATAGCAAGTATTATAATTACTTTATATCTTGGGAAGTAGTTGTTCATAAACTTGGATTGCTCCGGGTGTTTGTCTTCAATTAACGGAAACGCAAAATGAAAGTACAATTTTTCTCTACTCCCTTCTTTTTTTCATCTCTACTGTCGACAGTTATGGAATTGTTTGCCAAATAAGGTTGATTTAACGGGATTGAAATATTAGAAAATAAACGAAATGAACAGTTGCACAGCGACACTCGCAATGCATTTGAATAAATAATATGAATACGAATCAAAAATGTATACCTATAATACACTCCTGCAGGCAACGGCTAATTAGAAGGTGTTAAATTTTAAATAATAACACCGTGCAAGTACGATTTTTCAACCTGAAATTCGAACTCTACATAAGTATACTGTAATTACACATTTTTGCACTCATTATCATTAATAAATTAATAATTACCGTTTGTAAATTACTATGCAGCGTAAGCGTATTAAGACACATGCTCGTTGTCGATAAAAAGCCTTGCGAAGGCCGACTGGTGAATTTCGAAGTAGATTTTACCCGTTCGGTTCTTTTATTCCTTATTATACGAGGTAAATACAAAAAGGTAACAGTCCGAGAAGGCCGAGCGATTTTTTCGCTTCTCACTTGCAGACGCTTGTACTTACATATCTATATAATTCTTTTTTTCTCCAATCGAATTAGTTTCGATCGGAGGTGTTGCTAATGTACGAATGACATAAATGCAAATTACAAAACCAGTCTAGGAATAAATCTAATTTCTAGATGGATTTTTTAACTGTTTACTCGACGGTTTTTATTGCTTTCCTCTAACATTTTATTACCTTGTTTTTGTTATTTCAATATTCTTGTCGTATAAGAAAGGTTAATAAAAACTTGATTGTACAAAAATTATAATTAATTTCTGACGTCATTACCCAATTATAGTGAATAACCTATAACAACTTTATCTAATATATAGCAATCATTTAAGATGAATGTCGAATGAAAAAAATCTAGTAAGTAATAATATACCTAAACAATAAAGCTCAACGCTGTTAATTCCGCTCGTTTCAATCGAACTGTAAGTACAATCCCACGGTGTCTGGCATCAGTTTGCTCAGCTTTTTCTGATCGTCATGCAGGCTCGTCATCCGCGCGCGCAAATCACCCATCCGGGCAATTAAATCATTACGTGCAATTAATTAATGGATTCGAACCGGCGACCTCTGCACCTCCAGCGGTCGCCCATACAATGGCACGAAGACCATCGGGGAAAATGAACGCCATTACGTAACGTTTAATGCGCATATGTGTGCACCTCGATTTCGTCTCGAGCCCGGCGGATGGAAGGCCGAGATCGCTACAACACGAAATCGTTCGAGCGGCAAAAAATACGGCATAAAAAAAATTACTTCCTATATTTATTTTCTGATCCGAAGCGCAGATAACGCTCGGATTCTTTCCATTGCACGCGGCTATCTAATTTGTCCGTTTAAATTAAAATAAACGAGTGAGCCGCTATTGATATATCACCGGGTTTCTGTTCTATACGCCTATTGATATCTCCCCCTGTTGATATCTCCTCGGGCAATCGGCGAGTTGACCTAAAATAAACGACGAAATGCCTTCGATTCTAATGAACTATGATGATTTTTATATATTTTAACTGATCAGAAGATAACTTTTTTGATATCACCGGGTTTCTGTTCTATGCAGCTATTGATATCTCCCGTTTAGTTCCTGCTAGGCTCGCCTATTGGTGTCTCCTGTAGTCACGTAAATCCGTATGCAGATATTAACAGGGGTTTCCAATAACAAGTCGAGTTTTGCGGTTTTTTTTCGGAGCGTTCGATCGCGATAGGAGAAGCAACAATGAGGAGCGTATAGACGCATTTTCTCGAAACAAAAAAGAAATGTGTTCGCGATGAATGGAGATGCTCGCTCATTGCAACACTCGCACCAACCTTGATACCCGACCCACACGTGTGTTCGAATCTGTATCAATAAAAGCATAATGGATAATTGGCCATTTTTTCCGTAACATCCCTTTTGTGATGCTGACAAATGCCAATCTTATCTCGTCACTTCGCATTGTACGGAGGAGATTTTTATGCGCCGTACACTGAAGAATAGGAAAGAAAATATAATAATCGACGGGTGTATGGTCGTATATACTGGCGAAAAAATCGCATTGTTTTATGAAGATAGGTTTGTTCAAAAAGGACGTACCTACCTAGCAGTCGAAATGATAATAATTCACGAGATTAATAAAATTCGCATTAAATTTATTACAATAAAACTCTCCGCTATCGGACAACTTGGAAGAATGCTTTAGGAAGCGACCGTAACATTAATACATGAAGTTGCGCAGTTTTGTGAGCTCGTGTGGGTCGAAATACTTTTGATTATGATTAGAAAATGCTGCAGGTCCTCCGGACGCCCACAGGATCGTTAGAGAGCGCCCGTTCCAAGCGAAACAACAAAAAATAAATCGTCTCTACTTGATAAGTTATTTCCATATTCCTAGTAAAGTCGATCGGTGCTTTTATTTCTATAAAGTTTTTGCCTTATTTGATGACAATTGAGCGACAGAGAATTAGTATAGGTAGTAATTTCTTGAGAAATAGTAATTGGTCGACTATGGCAGTAATTGATCTATATATAGCTAGCAAACTGGTCAGCATAATTGTGCGGACAGTAATTGGTTATTAGGTAATTACTCGACAAAATGTTTGTCGGTCAATTTCATTGGCCGTCGAGGAACTGTCCAGGACCCTTAGGTGCATAAATATAGAAGATTAGTTGTGTTTAGCAGATAGGCATAGGTATAGTTGAAAAGAAGTACGTTAGAAATGAAAAGCATGAGCGCAATTTTAATAAAACGGGCACAAGGTACTAGTACAAAATAAAAGTAATACGTGACGGCTCGGGGGGCCCTCTCGCATGAGAATCCACGTCATTATTTATTACCAGATAAAACTAATTCATAAGAGACGCGAGAGTCGTCGGTCCGTTAGTACTTTAATAACGTTCCTTTTTCCTTCCTGTTCAATTATGATCACTCGAAATTCGCGAAAATATTAGTATAAAACATTGAAAATCTGACTGGATGATTGTACTTACATAATGAGTATTTGTAGTTCTAATGAAATTACAATTACATACCTGAAACAACAAAAAAATAGGTTAATTTGATAAGTAGAGATATTTGTATATTTGTAGAGGTATTTGATATTTCAACTTAAAAAAAAATGTCGTCATTATTTTCATACAAACAATCCTTTATTTATCCACTTAGGTATTTTTTGTGTGCGATTCGCCTTGGGCAATCGGCGAATTGACCTAAAATAAACGACGAAATGCCTTCCATTCTGATGAACCGTGATGGTTTTTAGACATTTCAACTGATCAGCCGATAACTTTTTTGACCCTAATCAAGGTTCTGTGTTCTGCGATGCTTCTCTCGCCAAAAAAGAAAACCGATTCCCCGTCTTTTCTATTACCGGCGATTCGTTTCAAAATGTACCGATCGGCGTTTCTCAATGACAGTTGATTGGGAGGAGGAAGTCGGTGGAATCATTATGCCCGCAAGGCGATAAATCATCCGGAGGATGCGAAGAGTGATCGATAATAAATTATACCTAATAGTTGCGATTGATACATTTTTGCTTGTTCGATGTTTGAGAAAACGACGGCGTTTTTTATGGATGTTTCGCACTTTTGCACGCCGATAGTACTGAACGTATTTGAGATTAAAGTAATAAATTTCGGTATCGTAAAATGTACTTTTAACGAAGTGCTAAATTCAACAAATTTATTTACAAAAAGAAATTATCGCACCTCCAACGAGACGTTATTTACAGGCTAATTAATGGTAAGAAATTTAATTGCGGCGACTCGATTTAATCCGTTTATTAATAGTTCTAAAATTGGCTGGTTGCTGATGAATAATAAAACGGTTTTTTCTACACAACTGTGGCGCGGTAATTCATTAAAATGCCGCATTGTAACACTTGGGTTACCTCGGGGTGTTCGGGCTCAGGTATTCTTTTTATTTAGACTCAAGGCGAGTAGTTTGTAGAAAACGGTTTATTATCATAAAGCGAACGAAAAACAAAACAAATATAAAACGTAGAGATTTGAAAAATAGGCGTAGCAGCTTATTCGTAGTAACGCTTTATCCGTGCGATACGACTGTGCCGAATACGGGGCTTTTCCTTTACTGTCCCAACGCTTGGAAGCAGCTAGAAGAAAGCGTTA